TGCACCTGGGCCTGCTTGGCCGTCATATCACTCCGGTTGAGCCGGCCCATTCGTGCATGCTGGCATGGCTCTCCCACACTTAAACTGACTGAAAACTGTGCTGCGATAAGTAAGCTGTACATAGTCGAAGGTCATATTCGTGTACTCCAGTGAAAATGTAGACCCACGTCGACAGCGTTGAGCTATGGAACCGCCTATTCGACCAAGCCACGCATGTATCAATGACGTCAATTCATGCGTAGCCTCTCCGTGGGTTGCAGTGGACACAACCACTTACATTTTCTTCCAGAGCGAAGCTTAATACACGTGCGTAGCTTCTCCGTGCACCGCGGTGGGCCCGCGCCTTAACCATAAAACACTGGAGTACTAGAATAAAAGTAGGCAAATTAGTAGAAACGGACCCCATTCCTATCAAACGAGGCATTTTTCAGGGAGATGCCCTAAGCCCTCTCTGGTTCTGTCTCGCCCTAAACCCCCTATCCAATCTTCTCAATTCATCAGAAAATGGTCTCACCATTCAGGAGAACCACAACTCGAGCTTAAAGTTAACGCATTTAATGTTTATGGATGATATCAAACTCTATAGCAGTAATATATCAGGTCTCCACTCACTCGCAGATCTTACACAGACTTTCTCAGATGATATAAACATGTCATTCGGTATAGATAAATGCAAAACTTTCACACTTCGAAAAGGGCAGCATGTAGAAAATAACCCGTATACACTAGAACCTGGACAGATAATAGAACCTATGACATTACACTGTACTTACAAATATCTAGGATTTGAACAATCACACCAAATTGACCAGAAACATACGAAAAATAAAATAATCAGTAAATACAAACACAGACTCAGCATGTTAATAAGATCACAACTTACATCACGCAACCTAATTAGATCTATAAACACATTTGCCATTCCCGTACTTACTTATTCGTTCGGGATTATAAACTGGACCAAAACAGAACTCACCAAACTACAGCGATTAATTTTTTTTTTTTTTTTCTCTCTTTATTTTATTTAGGGACTTTTATACAAATGTACATGTCAGTCCCATCGGACCTTATAATCTTATAAATCTAATAAATTTTATAACTACAATTAATAAACTATACACTGAAACGCAATAAAACAAACTTAATTAAATTGTACGCATCCTTAGAGTTAGGCGTTGACAAAATATGATGGAACATACCAACATTATACTTATTTGTCTCGAGCTCTCTAAACAATACTTCTCTTGCAGACTGAAATCTGACACATTCCGTCAATAGGTGCGTAATATCTTCTACTGTACCACACTCCTCACAATTCGGTGAATTATTTTTTCTCATTAAAAATCCAAAATTATTAAGTGGCATGTGTCCAGATCTCAATCTGTGAGCTGCTGTCACAAATTTTCTGCTAAGTCTGGTGTTACAAAACCATGGTACATGAGGAGGTTCCGAGACTATAGACTTATACCAAATCCCTTTTTTCTGTGACCTTTCATTAAAATATTCTTTCCAAATTCCGTAACAAATATTTTTATACTTAGGTAATACTTCTACGAAGTTAGTTCCTATATATTTTCTATACCCTCCTCTATACCCAATTTTGCTAAACGGTCAGCCTCCTCATTACCTTTAATACCTATATGTGAAGGAACCCATTGCAATCTCAGTTGTGTACCTTTTTCAGACAGATTGTATATTTTCGAGAGTATTTCATAAGCTATCGGTGCACCTCTGTACCCAGAGGCGCAACGAGCTATATGTTGTAGTGCACTTTTGCTATCTACACAAATTAATATATGTCCGTAACTTAAGGTTGAAATATAAGTCAGTGCTTCCGAAATTGCAAAGAGTTCCAACGACATAATTGACACAAAATCATTTATTTTATAGTAAGTGTGACTATTATTTAAGTTATGAGGATCGTAATATGCAGCTCCATTACCATTTCACACTTAGAACCATCAGTATAGATTTTATAATAATCATGATATTTTTCTATCAATTCCCTTAGTGTTTCTGCTTTAATTGAATTCAAATCGTATGTTTTCTTAGGTTTTTTAACAGAATCCAAACTAACCTTAATTACATCTTGAACATTAATTCTTGTTACCCATATATCTAGAGAAAACATTTCTAAGATCGGAGATGACTTTATTTTTTCTTTTCTAATCTCCTCAAATGTACTAACAAGTAATGGAAGCTTTTTATTTATCCAATATCTGATGTGCCTATTAGCAGTAAGTTCTGACAGCAGTTTTATTACCATATTATCGGAAATGGAGCACAACCTTAAGCAATATTTGGTCGCTAACCATCTTCTCCTAATATGCAGTGGAGGAACACAGAGCTCGCATTCCATGACATGAATTGGAGTGGTTCTTATAAAACTACCCACTATTCTTAACGCCTGATTTTGGATTTTTTCTAATTTGTAAACGTTTGTTTTAGCACTGTTGTCGTATAAGAAGCACCCATAGTCTAATCTACTTCTAATTAAAGCTATATAAAGTCTACGAAGATGAATTTGGTGAATCCCCCAAGACGGACTCGTAAGGATTTTAAGTAAATTAAGAAGTCTCTGAATTTTTTCAACAATTTCGTTAATATGTTTACCCCAGCGTAATGTTTTATCTAACCAAACCCCCAAATATTTATAGTTATATACACTGTCAAGTTCACCATCGTTAATTTGAAGCCGAATTTGTTGTTGTCTGTACCCTCTACTAAAAACGCAAAATTTAGATTTGTTTATAGATAATTCCAACCCTAACTCGTCTAATAAAGTTGCAAAAATATTTAAAGCATTTTGAATTTTGGTCTGGCTCTTCAAAATATCCTTGCAGGTATAGTATAGAACGAAATCATCTGCATACTGGCATGAGTACACTTCAAAAATCTCTTGACATATTTTGTATGTAGCTACATTAAAAAGTAATGGTGACATGGGGTCTCCTTGGGCTAAGCCTTTTCGCGCATGTCTGACTATGTCGCCAGTAAAGTCATCAACAACCTTAAGATGACGTTCGCTAAGGAAGTTCCACAAATATTCGCAAATATTACTACCAACACCTAAACTATCAAGAATAAGCAACAACTTATCAATTAATATATTATTATATGCACTTTTGATATCAAGAAAGCAAGCTATAGTTGGAAAATTCTTTGAAAAACCTATTTGTATTTGAGTTACAAGTTTCGTAAGGCAATCAAGACTAGACTGTCCTCGCCTGAAACCGACTGTGTTTGGCGACAAAATTCGATTCTTCTCAACATACCATTCGAGTCTTTTGGTTATTACAGCATGAAATATTTTACATGTGCACGATATTAATGAGATAGGTCGTGGTTTACTGTCTGGTTGGTTAGTTGCGTTTGTCCTAGCATCCGACTTCGGTATGGGGATTACCCTTATTTGACGCCACTGTGATGGAAAGTTTCCTGTCTTTAATATAATATTATAAATTTTTAGTAAGTATAATTTGGCTATAAGTGGTAGGTGTAAGATCATAGAATAAGTAATTGCGTCCTCTCCGGAGCAGTATCTTTTTTTTTAAACAATTAATTAGTTCTTGCAATGTAATATCAGACTCGAGCAACTCATTTTTAGATGTAAATATGGGCTTAGATGGAGTAACAAAGTCTGGTGTTAGATCACATAGCATCTCTCTCTTTGATTCCTGAGAACATTGAGTTTTCGATTTTTTATAACCTTTGACCCACCGCAGTCGATGCCACATGTCTGAGGCTGAAACTTTATAATTAATACTTTCACAAAACTTCTTATAATCATCAATTTTAGCTTTTTTGATAGCTTCTTTAGCTTTTAAAGTTCTTTCTTTAAATATTGCTAGATTAATTGGTGTTGGATTACCTCTAAATTTTTTAAGTGCTAGTCGACGCTCAGCAACTAATTTAGATATATCTGGACTCCAATATCCTTTCAGTTTAAATGTATTACTGGGCAAATTGCAATATTGAATAAGAGGAATATTTTCATCTGCTGATTTATTAACTTGATTGGAAAAATAATCATATAGAACCTGGACATCATCATCTGCATAAGAGAAAGAAAAACAATCACGGAGTCTATTTTTATAACCAGTCCAGTTAGCTAGTTTATAATTACGCCTCTTATGAAAGTGAACATCCTCGAATAGTTAACTTTTATTTTAATAAATAAATGGTCACTTCCTAAATTCTCGTTCATAACGTTCCAGTCAAAATTAATAGCGATATCTGCAGATGCAAATGTTATATCAGGAGAAGAAGATTGCAAATTATTATTCACTAATTTAATCCTAGTGGGTTGTCTAGTATTTAATGATGTAAAGCCAAACTCTAACGCGGACTCAAAAATTTGTCTACCTCTATTATCATTTTTGTAGGACCAGTTGGTATGGTGGGCGTTAAAATCGCCTGTTATTAAACAGCTATTTGGAAACAAACAAAAAATTCTATCCCAGTCAGCTTGTGTAGTGTTAATTGAACTAGGACAATAGATTAATATAATGTATTTAACATGGTTACAATTATTTATTTTAATACACAAAAGTTCAATGCCTGGATTAATCTGACTTACCTTTAATTCCTGTACCTTTAGTGACCTGTGAACCACGATAGCAACCCCACCATACGAATCCTCCCTGTCTCTTCTGTATATACTATATTGGTTAATATTAAAGTGGTCGTCTTCCCCTAGCCAGGTTTCACTAATTAGTGCAATATGTATCTTCTCTTGTAAAAGTAGACATTGAAATTCCTCCAATTTGGGTTTTAAGCTCTGTGCGTTCCACTGCGTTATATTTAAGTTAATATTTTTACGTAAACAAGCCATCTTTAACCAAAGAGATTATTTTCTTAAAAACATCGCCATCCTTAACTAACCCCCAAAAATATTGAAAGCATTGCTCAAATATAAAATTACACACTAATTTAACTTTATCTTCAAAACTACGTTCAGACAAACACACTACTTTTAATTTATCATAATATTTTAAAGTCTATACGCATTGTGGATTTATCCTTGTTTTGTATTCTTTCCTGTCTATCTTCATTGTTAGTGGTATTATAACGATTCTGATGTTGTTGTTTTTCTTTTTTGTTTGTTTTCGTGTAGGTTTATCCAGTATTATCGATTTTGCCGACCCTTCCATACTCTGTTCTCCTCCGTCATCGCTATTAATATATTGTTCTGATCTCGGCTGAGTTTGTTTTTCTTGCTGAGTTTCTCTAACTAAAATGTCTCGATATGAAGTCTTTTCATTACTAGTATGTTCAAATGTATTAATTGAACTTTCCTTTTCCGTTTGATGTTCTACTAGTGTTTTTCTGTTCTCTAAATATGCAGACAGGGCTTTCCGGTATGTAGTGTTCCTCTCACACATAATTTTCCGTATTTCCTTTTCTTTTTTAAATATTGGACACGATTTTTCCAAAGCCATATGTGGCATCTTACAATTTATACATTTGTAATTGGTAGTGTCACAGTTACTATGATTTTCCCCACACTTTGGGCAGCGTATTATTTTTGTCGGGCAAGACTTTATTAAATGCCCAAATCTCCAGCAACCAGAGCATTGTGTCACTGGAAACATATAAGGTTCCACCTTAAACCGACAGCCATACATAGACACATATGGGGGTAAGGTAGAACTTTTAAAACACAGTCGAACTGATTCGCTGTCCACCCATTCTCTAGACATTCCAAGGCGTTTTAATCTCCGCACGCTGACAACTTCAAGGTCACATTCTAGGCTATGTTCAATTTCTTCTACATCTATATTTAGATCTATCTGTTTAACAACCCCATATGATAAACTTATTTCATCTACTAATTGACACCGGTAGCCTAAATCAAGTAAATTTTGGCATTTTAATAGTTTTTCGGCATATTCTCTGTCTTCAAATTCTAAAATTGCCTTGTAAGCATTTTTATATTGAATTTTAATTACATTTATTATGTTTTCCGACTTTAATAACTTGGCAAGACCAAATTGTTTTGGTAATACTTTATCTTTTCCCGTAATACTGACAACATTACCCTGTGACTGTACACTTTTAGTACCGCCTTTGCTACTATGCGAGTTGTCAGAAAAACTTCGTGCTTGCTTTTTACTTCCTTTTCTAACAGTTATAAACCCATCTTCATCTTCTATAATCTCCTCACTGTCTTCGCGAACCCGTTTCTCTGGCATTCGTAAAACTTCAGTAGTCAATCTCCTTTCCGCTGTATTAACTTGTTGCTCACTGTTTACTATTTCCTCTTCCATATCACTAATACTCGTCTCACAAACAAAATCCGTATTATTATCCATTATCAGTAAACATTTGGATAATTTAAAGATATGTAGGTATATGGAAAAAAGTTATAAAAAGGTTATTAGTTTTTTGCGATATGTGCGCTCGCCTCGGCACTTCGCGCGAAACTGAGCGATTAATTAATACATGCTTAACCACTAACAGAAAACACCACCCTCGATCCTGTGTACAACGGCTAACGCTACCAAGAGATGACGGAGGACGAGGTCTCATAGACATAACAAATCTGCATAACCAACAAATAGTTAATTTAAGAAAATTCTTCTTGCAAAAAGCTCAACAGTCCCCCCTACACAAAACAATATCACAAATAGATAAAAAGTACACTCCACTCAATTTACACTCCACCGATCCACAAACAAACGAGTCCATAACTAGTAAATCAGAAAAGATAGCAGTCTGGGCACATAAATCTCTCCATGGAAGACATCGCCTCGACCTGCAGCAACCTCATGTTGACATAAAAGCGTCAAACGCGTGGCTGCGGCGAGGTGAACTCTTCCCTGAAACGGAGGGATTTATGATTGCCATTCAAGACCAGGTTATTGATACAGCTAATTATCAGAAATTCATAGTACGCAGACCCAACTACAACGACTCCTGCAGGCGCTGCCACGGTGCGTCAGAGACCATCCAACACATCACTGGCGCCTGCAGGTCCATAGCCCAAATGATTATAAACACCGCCACGATCAAGTTGCTGCAATAATCCACCAAACCCTAGCCATCCAAACCAAATTAATCACAGAGAAAACAGCATATTATAAATATAAACCCCAACCAGTATTAGAGAACGAGAATTTCAAACTGTACTGGGACAGAACAATTATCACTGACAAAACAATTTACAACAATAGACCGGATATAACAATGCTAGATAAACGAAACAAATTAGTATATATAATAGATATAGCCATATGCAATACTCATAATCTAATAAGCACACATTCCGAAAAAATTGCGAAATATACTGACCTATCAATAGAACTCAAAACACAATGGAACATCACCCACACCAAAACTATACCTATCATTTTGTCCACCACAGGGGTCATCCCAAAAAAAAAAAAAAAAATAAAAAAAATAAAAGTGTTTATTGCAACAAAAACATTAGACACACAGTTTATGAATACTAACATCTAAACTAGGCCGAGCCTGTACCTTAGATGTTAGTTCCTTCCAATTGATACAGTATATTATTTACAATTTAAAGTTTGTAAAAACTCTCCACAATAGCTTAAAATTTTTATTTTTATTTTAAAGTTGCTGGGCTAATATTTAGTCTTTAAATATTAGCCCAGCAACTTATCTTCTTCTACAAAAAGCAGTAATTTTGAATACGTGCCGCCTAACCCGAAAGTTCTTAAATTCATAGTTTTATCACAATTTTATTTACGCACTTGGCTTCGGCCCGTGCTTTAGAACCCCACTAAGATGGGAGAAACATAAAATATGACAAGAAATAATAATAATAATATGAATTTATTTCAGATTTCTCCATAAATTGTTAGTAACATGAAAATACTTAAAAACTATTGTTAGTAAACAAATTACACCCAAAAATAAAAATACAATTAAAAATACATAGATTGTAGGACCAATCCCACGCCAGAACGCATCACTGTATTTTATTTGACTGCGTGCAGTCGTATCCAACGCTCAAGCATCGGGGAATCCCATCGGTCCGTCAATACGCTCAAGATGCTGTTGGAACTAGCTCGCATGCGAGTTAGGGTCGACGTGCAACGTTTACGCATGACTGTCGCAAAACTGTCAACGTTGGCCTCGGCAAACATACCCGAGGCACTACAATACCGCTGTAGCCCCATCAGCATCCTGAAAGCATTGTTGTACTGCACCCGCAGGCCCCTGTATGCCCCCTGCAAGTAGCCAACCCACAGGCTGCAGGTGTAAAAGGATTGACAGTAAGCCTTAAACAGTGTTTTCTTTACTTGTGTGCTACAGCGTGCAAACCTGCGAATCAACATGTTACACCGGACAGACAAGGACCTGCGCTCTCTCTCAATGTCAGTATTGTCTTTTTGATCATCAGTAACCCAATGGCCTAAATACTTGAATTTAGAAACTCTTTTTAACGGGGTACCGTTCAGGACTATATTAGGTACATTATCATAGTGTTTAGTACCCGATTTAAATACCATGAGCTCAGATTTAGTTGAGTTGTACTTAAGGCCATGGGTGTTTGCGTAAGTCTCACAAATCTTTATGAGCTCCCTCAACGCACAGATGGAGGGGCTCAGGAGCACCATATCGTCAGCATAGCTTATATTGTTGATACATACACTATCTATATGACAGCCGATTCTGGCGCTTCTGAGCCCCCCCCCAATCAGCTCGTTCATGTAAAAGTTAAAAAGAAGAGGAGGAGAGTCCCCCCTTGTCTCACTCCGCACTCCAGTTTGTACTCTTCCGAGAGAGTACCAGCCCATCTTACCTGATTTTTCTGTGCACTGTACCAATGCCTTAGCATAGCAACGATCTCCCCGGGTACACTAGTATCCTGTAGTTTATTCCATAGTTTGTCATAAGATACAAGGTCAAAAGCTTTTGACAAGTCTAAAAAGCAGGCATAGACAGGAGTTTTTCTAGCTGTGTAATAGTGGACCGTCTGCTTGAGCGACAGAATAGCACTCTCGGTTGAGAGTCCAGACCTAAATCCAAACTGTGCATCATCCAAGTTCAGGTGTGACTCCAAGTGTCGCTCAATCAGACCGTCCAGTACCTTAGCTATAGTGGTAGCCAGAGAGATCGGCCTATAATTTGTGACATCTGAAGAGTCCCCTGTTTTATTTTTAATAACAGGGACTACGATGGTATGCATCATTTTCTCAGGCAAATAGGAATGAGACAAGCATATATTGAAAAATAACGACAGTACTCTCGGAAGGTGAACTCCAGCATACCTCAGATGCTCGATGCTGAGGCTGTCATGCCCCGGAGACTTTCCGCTCACCATTTTCTTTATTACCAAAGCCACTTCACTTGCGGCAAATCTAACACTCAGCTCCGATGCAAGACCCCCAGCATCGAGCAACGTTGACGAGGCTGGCCCCAGAGGCGATTGTACTTTAAAATGATGCCGAAAAACATTTGCAATATCACTTGGGTCATGGGTACCAGCTACGCTCACGGAAGGCTAGGTCTAGGATTTGATTGGTTACTCAATTTCCAAAACTTATTGAATTTCTTATTTTTATGGTGTTCAGCGACAATGTCCATTCTAATTTGTTGCTGATTGTTTTGACACCATTTTAATTTTGACTTAAAATAACGTCTCGAAACACACATGTCATTATAGATAGTACCGCAGTTTGGTTTATTATTCGATAACCACACCTGGTAACAAAGTCGCGCCTTCTCGTGAGCGCTGCGCACATATTTATTCCAACCCGTAACACATTTACCCCTTCGTTTCGCCACAATAAAGCTATATTCTGCTGCTTCGGAAAGTATCGACACAATATCATCATACATATTATTTATAATTGATCTATGCGTAGTATTATTACACATATGATCGGCACAGGATGTTAATTCACTAGGAAAATCGATGTCTCGTAATTTGTAATTACAGATATTTCTATACATATCAATCTGATCTATATTTCGCTCACCCCATTTTATTTTATTTTCATGTAAAGAGCTACACATACAAATTTTTGATTTTAAAAGTTTAAAGTTGCAATTCAACAAAATAGGCAGATGGTCAGACCAGTATGTGTCATACAATACAGAGCTACTTATAACTGAGCGGCACGCAGCTTCGGTCACCACACAATGATCCAACCACCTCCGGCTACCGTGCGCTTCACTGATAAAAGTAAATGTGTCGGCAGGCAGCAACTGCATGGTTACACAGGACCATGTCTGGTCAGCACAAAAACTTAACAATTCAGATGCAAATAACTCACCGGGTGGGCATTAAAATCACCTAGCACGTACACTGATTCCACACTTTGACTTTCAATTATTGCGTTAATTTCACCTAAACAGTCAGTAAACTCAATTAAATTGTCCCTTGAGTCTGTGGGCATGTAAACCGAAAATACAATTGCTGAGCAATTATTACGTAACTCAATTTTAATTGCGGCTAGACGCACACTTTCACACTCCACAACGGTAACCACTGGGAACTTGTCCCTTTTCCACAATAAGGCCACGCCACCGAAGGGTCTGCCACGGAGTAAGCCAGCCGAGGTGTCGACTGCTGAGGTACCCGTGCATCCAAAATCGTCGTGAATACTGTTGAGGTACGCGAGATCATGTGGCAGCAGCCATGTCTCCTGAAGCGCTATGATGTCGGCAGTGCCACACAGTCTTCGCACGCAGTCCACGGACCTCACAATATTTTTACAGTTGAAGCTAATCAAGTTTACTGCATCAATTTCTAAACTATTTTCACTGTTTACGCAGCTATACATAGTTTTATTGATTAGTTAATTCATTCCGGTCACCGATGTCACTTGTATTTTCAACAATATGGTCATATTTATTCCTGTTGAAATACACAAAACGTCGAAACTGTATTCCTTCCGGCCAGAGCGCATCGTCAAGAAACACTGACAACTTGTTGTGTGGTACAAAAATTTTATATGCATCATACGATTTTTGTGTCTTCATTTTAATTTTCTTCATAGTAACGGATATGCTCGTCTTTTTTATAATGTAATCCATAATATCGCTTTCACTCGTCTCCCTATCTACATAATTAATAAATAGAGGAATTTTATTATCAGCGGCTTTAAACTTAGTATTTGGTTCCGCTTTTCCTTTTGTCCCAATGAACCGGTTAGTTAAACGCTTATTTTGCACTTTGATCCATCCTTGGTCGGATTTTTCGTTTTTCCATTTCCCGCTACTGCTTAAGGTTTCCGCGAACGTTTTTGTATTGGGGCAAGCGGCTACCGGTTTATCATTTATCGTATTTATTTTGTTCTCGCTGATTTTAAGCGGCCGACGTTCCGGCGAACGCGTG